ATCCTTCTGCTTTCAGACTACATTATTCTTATCTCTTCATTCCTTTGGCTTAGTTTACTTAACATGGCGGTTTTCACTTGTGTCCATTTTCTTGGGACTGACTTGATTTCATTCTTCTTGGTGGATGGGTAAAACTCCATTATGCATATGTGACATATTTTCTGCTCCTATGACAAAAGCACCCGCATATATCACAAAGTGTGAGCCTTCCAGCCTTGCTCTTCTGTGTGGTTGCTTTAGCTATGGTAAATAACTAGAGTCTCCACATGAATTTTAGGATTTCCCTGTCAATTTTGACAAAACAAAATCTCGCTGGGAATTGTATGCAAGTTACATGAAATATGTAGATTCCATTGAAGAATATTTTTATCTTAATAGTAAATCTTTTGTTCTGGGAAAGATGGTATATTTTTAACCAATTTAGATCTCAAATCTACATACATCTTTACTATATTAAATATACATCCCTATATAATAACTAAGACACCTGCAGATCTCCCTCATTTAACTCTATTGCCTGTAAAATGAATATAGATGGCAGAATGTAGATAATACAGAGGAATATGAACACTCAAAAGAATTTCTGTCTCCTATGTTTTCAGAATTCCTTACTGTGTACTACAATCTGGGAGGTTGGTTTAGTGCTGATTCCTGAGTAACTGTCATACAACATTTATAAAAGAAAGTTTCTTCAATGAAACATAACATTTAAAAATTCATACACAATGCACATCATCATATTTACATATGCGGAGTGTAAAAGTCTATGCACATGTGACAGCATACACAAGTTCTAGATAAAAACACACTGAGTTGTTCCAATGGTAGTTTATTTCTGGGAGAAAGAGTCAATGGGATGAAGAAGGAAAAGGCTAGGGATCTACTCACATTTTTTTCTGTGTTTTCATGTATTTCTGTCATAATTTTAAATATGCATAATAATAAGTATAGTTATAGTTTCAGTCAACATCTTTTTGCCAACATCTGTTACAACAAGACTAACACACTGAGCGTGAGCTCAAGGTGATGTTGAGCAGCTGGTTGAAGTTGAGGTTACAGTGAGGAATATTAGTCACTATTAGACCATTAAAAATGTTGCCGGGGGCTGGAGAGATAGCACAGCAGTTAACAGCACTGGATATTCTTTCCAAGGACCTGGAAGTCCCAGCACCCACATGGCAGCTTACAACTGTCTGTAATTTTCGTTCTAGAGGATCCAACACCCTTACACAGACACACATGTAGACAAAACACCAATGGACATACAATCAAAATAAATGAATAGTTAAAAAATGTTGCCAAATGGACGGTATCCTTCCTACCCTTGAAATCAGTGAGGACTACTATTGGTCCACTGTTTAATGGGGGTGGGGCTGTAGAACAGTAGTCAGTTAAAGGACAAGAGACTGGGTGAGAAGAATCACTGGACAATCCTGAAACTGATGTACTAGTATTGTTAGCATGGCTATACTATGTTGGAAATAAAATACATGATTCCCATTCACAGAGAACTTTAGAATAAGGGTTATAAATGAACTGACAATAGTTCAAATTAATACTGCCTCAAAAATTCCATTGAGACTGGGAATGGTGGTGCACACCTTTAATCCTGGCACTCAGGTACAGAGGCAGGAAGATCTCTGTGAGTCTGGGGCCAGCCTGTTACATATTGAGTTGTAGGCCATTCAACGCTACATAGTGACACACACACATACACACACACACACACACACACACAAACACAAACAAGCAAAACTCCAAAACACATCCCACAACACTGAGTACAAATATATAAGGGTCCAAAAACTTGCAGAGGAAAGATTGGTCACCTAATGTTACAGATAATCATTATTTTTGTAGCTTGTTTTAATATATTGTATATTTTTAATTACTTTTACTTTTTTTTTTTTGGTTTTTGAGACAGGGTTTCTCTGTATTGTTTTGGAGGCTGTCCTGGACCAGGCTGGCCTCGAACTCACAGAGATCCACCTGCCTCTACCTCCCAAGTGCTGGGATTAAAGGCATGCGCCACCAATGCCCGGCTACTTTTACTTTTTGAGTAATTCTGTAACTATCTAATTTCTCTTCTCTCTTTTCTTCCTTCAAATCCTCCCATATACTGGTGCTTCCTTGTCTCTTTCAAAATCATGATACCTTTTTTTTCATATATATATATATACATACATATATATACACATACACACACATACACACACACACACACACACACATATATATATATATATACATATATATATATATATGTATATGCCTCAATACAACCTGCTCAGGCTGTACAATGTTACTTGTATGTATGTTTTCAGGGCTGACTGTTCTGCGTTGGATAACTAATTGGTGTGCTCTTCCCTGGGGTAGTCTGTTTCTCCTGCTCTCAGCATTCCTTAGTTGCCTGTAGTTTTTTGGTAGAGCTGAAGCCATGTTTGTTTGGAGCTGAGCTGTTGAGATGACTCAGCTGTTAAGAGCCTTTGATGCTCTTTCAGAGGACTGGTGTTTGGTTCCCAGCATCCATATCAGGCTGCATGTAACGTGTAACTCCAGCTCCAGGAGATCCAACACCTTCTTCTGCCACTCTGTCCCTACCCTGCCACTACAGACACAGATGCATACGTACATATCACAAAGGATTGGCCATGTTGTAGACTACCTTTGTTTATTCCAGATCCCTCCAGTTTTAGCATCTTTTGAATCAAGCTTGGGATTCATGAAATCCATCCAGGTCCCCTGCATGCCTTCATTTTAAAGGTCCTAACCTAAAAGGTTCCACTTTTCACAAACTGGAATTGCAAGGGTTATCTCCTAGCTGTTTGGACTTCATGTATGAAGAAAGTAGCCAAACTATTTTGGCCCAGAATCTAGGAATGGTGAGGACCATATTGTGTGCTATGGGGGTGGGAGGAGGGAGGAGCTGTACTGAGCCGGAGAATACAGCGATTATAGATCCGGATGCTGCTCAGTTCTTTGGTGCTAGTTGTTTCTGAGATTACCATTTGTTGGCTCTTCTAGACCTAGGTCTTTCTACACTTTCTGGAATGTGGCTAATGACATTTTGATTTGGCCTAGTTTCATCTAAGCTGGTTTTGGTTACTTGCAACCAAGCAAAGACTAAATGACTAAACATAAGCAATATTGTAAGCAGTAGCTTTAAAAAAAAAAGCCTGCTTCATGTTACATTCACAGTACAGCTGCATTGGACTTTTCCATGAATCAAACGGAACTTTGGAGTCTCTGAAAGGAACCAGGAAGTGGTGGTGTAGCCCATTAATCCCAGAACTCTGGAGGCAGAGGCAGGCTGATTTCTGTTGGTTTGAGGTCAGTCTGATCTACAAAGCAAGTTCCAGGCTAGCCTGGCTTGTTACATAGAAAAAAAAGTCTCTGAAAGATTTTGGAAAATAATTTAAAATCTAGAAGTGTAGTAGAAATATTTTTGTAGTTATATATGCATATCAGAATCTCACATGTGTTATATTGCATGAGTTACAAATACCTAACATTGTGGCTGACTAAAATTCAAATATGTTCTAGTGTCATGTGTCATGAGAATCAAGTTATATAGTTTGTCAGTGATTTTAATGATACGGAAAGTAGGGTGGCATTATTACTTTACTACTAATGTATTTGGAGGTCATCCATGTTTTTTTTTCATCCATGTATTTTTATTTATTTTTTTCTACTTGACAGTATCCTGATTTGGCACTTCCCGGACTCCAGAATTATGATAGAAATCTCTATACCTTAAAAATCAATGTAGTCTGGGACTGGAGGGATGGCTCAGCAGTTAAGAGCACTGGCTACTCTTCCAGAGGACCTGGGTTCAATTCCCTACATCCACACGACAGCTCATAACTGTTTGTAACTCCAGTTCCTGAGGATCTGACAACCCCATATAAGCATACATGTACGCAAAGCACCAATGCACACAAAATAAAATGAGTCATTTTAAATAATTGGGTAGTCTTAAGCATTCTGCTATAGAAGTAAAAACTGTTGGGTGTTTGAAGGCGTGGCTGTAGAGCATTTGCTCTCTACTCTCTAACACTTTGGCATCCCCTGATCACTGCTTCCGGTCACCTTTGAGTGCAAAGGGGAAGTCATGCTTTTTTTTTTTTTAAGCTATGTGTTTTTTCAAGGTCTTTTCCTCTTTAGATCTAGATCTTTAAATCAGTTTGAAACAGGATGTCTCACTTCCTGCAGGAACTCGTTTCCCTTGGGGTGCAAAAGCGTTGGCTCATCAGTTCTCCATAAACTGGGGAATGGTGAATTGGGGAGTTTGAGAAAGGGGGTGGCTGGGATGAAAGAAACTTCTATTGTGAGCAGTTACTGTGTATTTATCTCACAGAAAACCTGGTTAGGAAATGGCTTAGAAAACAAACACCACAAGAAACAAGGAAGGGAACTGTGAAAACACTTCCCTTCTGAAAGAGGGATCAAAGCAAAGGAAAAGAGTACTAAAAAATTGAAGATTGCCTTAAGAATGTTGTCAAAAAATAAATGCTGGAAAAATCAAAATGCAATTAGTTCTGACTAAGAAAAGTAGCTGAGTGGCATGGAAAATGTGACCTGTTTAGATGGAAACCATGTTTTCGCTAATTCATTTTAGGTTGCATTTAAAACACCGCCCCATTATTCTCCAGGGTCCTCCCAACCTATATTTAAATCTAGATTACACACGAGAGAGACTGTACCGATCCGTATTAACACGCACTTATACATCTTTCATCATTTCCTTTGGACCTTGTATTTTCAAGGCTAACGGATGCCCTCCTGTTGAATATTGGTAACGTACACTGCATGGATGTGACTGTCCCTGTCCCTGTTTCAAGAACACGTTTTAAAGGTGAACTTCAGGTGCTGACAGCGGCATGTGAGGATGCACTAAATATGACGTAGTAAATTCACTCAGAAGTTTGCGAAATTCCTGCTAGCCTGCAGATGCCTCCACACTGACCTCTTATTAAGCGTGCTTGTGCTCTGTATTCCAGAAATGACTTCTGTAAAGAAGAAGGAACATGCCTTTTGGGCATCTGTGTGTCTGTTGCTCAGCGTTGCCCCGGAGCTTCTTAATGCTCTGCCTGAGGAAGTTGATGGACATGTGAAAACCACAGGTAAAGCACTGCAAACATGATGTTTTTAAATCAAAACTCCCAATTTAGCATAAAATTCATATTTTTCATTATGCTAGAATCCAAATGTTTTTAGTGTGTGTGTGTGTGTGTGTGTGTGTGTGTGTGTGTGTGTGTGTGTGTGTGTTTTGCCTGCTTCTGTGACCATGCACCACTTGTGGGCAGTGTCTTCAGAAGCCAGAAGTCAGCACTAGATTTCTTGGAACTGGAGTTCCAAGACAGTTGTAAGCTACCATGGGTGTGCTGGGAATTGAACCCTCATGCTCTGGAAGAGCAGCAAGTACTCTTAACTGCTGAACCATCCATCATTCCAGCCCCCTTAGAATATTTTTTCAACAAAGTGGTATTTCCTTAAGCCAGTTCTTGTATTAAGTGGGTTAATTTTTAGACTATCCCAAATCAAGGCACTTCAGCAAGAGAGACTTTTGTTTGTTTTGTTTTGTTTTTTTCTTTTTGGAGACAAGGTTCCTCTGTGTAGCCCTGGTTATTCTGGAACTCACTCTGTAGACCAGGCTGGCCTTGAATTCATAGAGATCCACCTGCCTCTGCCTCCTGAGTGCTGGGGTTAAAGGTGTGGGCCACCACTTCCTGGCAAGAGAGACATTTTGTGTAAGACAGCAACATCAGAACAAACTCTAGAATATTGCAAGAAGAAAAGAGCAGAAGGAGAGTTGATTTTAGCTTTGAGCTAGAAAAATTATGAAGAGGAAAAACAGCTATGCACATGAGCTTCAGCCATCTGGCATCTTAGAGATTTATATATTTCCTTCAAAGTAACATTCTGTACAAAACTATTGCTAGAACTCAAGTTATTGGTAATGGAAAATATTAACTTGACAGTCTCTACAATATACATATATATATTCCCACATATACATTCTCATCATCTCTGGTGAATTGGTTCAGTGTATTCCCTTTTAACAAAGGTTGGGTAAATACATCTTCTGAGCCTGAAACCTAGTTGATTGGAGGGAATAATGGTGGTGGAGTGGAAAACCTTAAATTCTCACAGCTTCTGGAAGGTTCTCACTACCTAAATTGTGACCTTACTAACCAAGCACCCATATTCTACTAAGTTTTTTTTTTGGTATCCTAAGATACAGAAAAGGGAGCTAAGATTCAGTATTAGATATTTTCATAGGAAAATTATTTCTGAATTTATAAAGCAAATTCTTAGAATTCTATTGAGTAGAAATCACATTGTTAACCCAAATGCCATCTTGAACATCTCTGTCATTCAGGTTTGTGACAATATCACTCTTGTTAAGATTGTGTAATATCCCTGCTATAACAACATGTGAGGGCCAATTCTACCATTTGCTGATATAAATAGGGGAAACTTAGGTACTTCCTGCATTTTTTTGTTGTTGTTGCAAGATGAAGATAACACTGACATCATGAAGTTGTGATCATTAGATAATTTTATAACAAAGTTCTGGGAAATTGTAATTGTTCAGAAAAAATTCATTATTAGTGTAACTACATAGACAGCTTTGAAAAACAGAACAAGTCATTTGTGGTACACTCTCACCCTCTTGTGGCAAAATTATTAAAAAGCATGTTGAACTTGGGCTCTGCTTTCCTGAATACACACACACACACACACACACACACACACACACACACACACACACACACAGGACATTTCAGTAAGCAAGATCTTGTATAAATCAGTTAGGGATCAGAAAGACGTAGTCTGTACCCAGCTCACCTTTTCCTTAACTGTCTAGTTTCCAGCCCAGAGAGTGGGAGCCAATGGCAGTGGACAGGTCCTCCCAGTCAATTTACCTAATCAGTATTCCTCCAACCTTACCCAAGGCCTGCTCAGAAAGCCATCTGTCATGGGACTCTGGATTCTGCAAGTTAATGATTAACCCCAACCACCATGGCTGTCTATAATTTTATTAGTACTATAAATGATTGGACTGGGGGAGATTGTAATGTGCTTCTCTTGCAAGACCAGGATCTGAGTTTTATTCTAGAATTTGTGTAAAAAAAAATGCTAGACCTCGATGGTACATGTTTTGTAAGCCCAATTGCGGGAAGACAGAGAAAGGCAGATTCCTGGATCCCACTGTCCAGAGAGCAAGCCAGCCGGCTAGCCTACCTTTTGAGTTCCTGGCTAGTGAGAGATAGACAGTAGCTGAAGAAAGAGGCAGGGTGTACGAGCACGCCCCATGTAAGCGTATCTGGACACATATATGGGCACAAGTAAGTAAACAAATAAGAAACAGATAAACAAATGAGGACATCCCAGTTTCTTTGTTAGAATATTAGCATTATTAAAATATGGCTAGAAAATGATACTAGCTTAGTATATACAACTGTAATAACAAAATACAAATGGGAGAAGATACTAGAAGGTAACATAAATCAAATTTGTATGAATATTTTCCAAAAGTTCATGCTTTGAAATCACAAGGAATTAAAAAATGGATTTATTACTAGATTATCATCTATCTACAAATTTATACTTTGTTTTAAAAAGTTTTTGTACGAAAACATTGAAGCGATGTCCATTCATGTGCTGATAAGCTTTTAATTTAGCAGAGCACGTCTGCCCTCTGGAGGACGAATTGGTTTATGGCATTTAAAGTTTCATGAACCTTCAGGGATCATTAATAAATTATCAAAGACATGGAACACAGACAGACACTCAGGTTGTTACTTCCACTGAACTCATACTAATTTTACTTTTCTGTTTTAATTTTCTTATTTAAAAGTTGAGAGGGAAAATTGTGTATTTGACAAAATGACAGCAAGGACATTGTCATAGTGTTGGAAGAGAATTAGACGTGATATTTTCATTCTTACCTTCTAGATTCGGATCAGCCACTAATGAAACCGAAGCACACATTTTGCGCAATGAAGGTAGAGGATGGGCCGTGCAAAGCCATGATAAGGAGTTACTTTTTCAACATTTTTACTCAGCAATGTGAAGAATTTATATATGGGGGATGCAGAGGAAACCAGAATCGATTTGACACCCTGGAAGAGTGCAAGGAAACATGCATCAGCGGTAGGTGTCCAAGAAGCCTGTGACACAAGAGCCTGTAATTTAGTAATTTTAGAAAAACTCTACCATTTCCCAAGAAATCCCACTGTTTACATTTCTAGATTTCCTAGTCAGCAGCTGTTTTTGATTTCTTCTGGTTAGTTATACAATTATGAAGTCTCATTTCTTATGGTAGAATCTCCCCTACAGTGAAAGGGAAGGAGTGTTACAGTCCACTGAAAAACCCCCGAGGGGCAGTGCGGTGAGTACAGTTAGCTTACCTGGGAGCTGGGCCGGCAGGAAAGGAATTGCTTTGCACACTGGCTCAGCTGCACCTTTATAAACAGAATGCTGTCCTAGCGCTCTCCCCAGAAGGTAACGCACCAGAGCACTAAGCGTCAGGCTCCAAAGATAAACATATTAACACACACAAATTTCTACTATGGGAGTCAACTTAGCACTTCTAGGTCTAAGACTGTGACCTAGAGATGAGTCATTCTTATTGGAATGTTTTTTTTCTTTTCGTTTGGTTTTTCGAGACAGGGTTTCTCTGTGGCTTTGGAGGCTGTCCTGGAACTAGCTCTTGTAGACCAGGCTGGTCTCAAACTCACAGAGACCCTTTTGCCTCTGCCTCCTGAGTGCTGGGAATAAAGGCGTGCGCCACCACAGTCCGGCTTCTCATTGAAATTTTAATACAGCAAAAAAAAATTCAAAATTTCATCCCTGCCATGTAAACATTACCTAACCTAACCTTGGTGCTGATTTTTCTGATGTAGGATTATAAAGCACATAATAATGTATTATTAAACTTCAGTGGATATTCTTACTTTGTAGTCACATCATGATTTTATGACATTTTAACAATGCTTACAAATTTCATCATTGGTAGTTTTACCTGATGCTAATGCATAGTAGGGGAGCTACAGGCAACAAGATATTACACGTTCCAAAAGCTGCATCGAAGAGTTTTTAAGAGGTTTCAACAAAAAGAATTGATATATATTTGAGGGGGTAGATATACTCAGCCTCACTTAAATATTACTCAGTATACACGTGTATTGAAATATGACACAACACTCTATTACTATGTGTAAGTCTACATTTTTTATATACCAGGTAAAATAATTATCAAGAAAAGGATGTGGGGGTAGGAGATTCAATTCAGTGGTAGACTTTTGCATAACATTTACAAGACCCCGCATAAACACCACCACAATCAATAATAACAACAATAAAACATACAAAAATGATTGGCTATAATAACCTATAAATAATAATAAACTCGAGTCATGAAGACATTCTGTACGAGGATAATATTAATGGGATTACGTAATTGTTCCAGTTTAAGGTCAAGCTCATAATATGGCATTATAAATGATGGCCATTAACTCACATACTTTCTCTTGCAGGTTATAAAAAGACGACTGTAAAGACAACATCCGGAGCAGGTGAATTTTCACTTATGTGAAAATTGGTAACATTTATCTAACACAGTTGGGCATTCAGTTTTATATACCTCTGCTGTGGGTTGACCGAATCTACAGGACATCGGGGATAATGTTCCCTGGATGCGGTGAAAACTTAGACATCACAGACGCTGTTTGGAAGGAAGGCTCTATGGGCCATGAGTTTTGCATCACAGGCTCTCTAGAGCATTTGTTCTTAACCTGTGGGTCATGACCTCATTTGGGGAGGTCAAACAACTCTTTCACAGGGGTTGCATATCAGACATCCTGCATATCAGATATTTACATTGCAGTTCATAACAGTAGTAAAATTACAGTTGTGAAGTAGCAACGAGAATGATTATATGGTTGGGGTTCACTACAACATGAGGAGCTGTACTAAAGGGTCCCTGCAGGAAGGCTGGGAACTGCTGTCCTAGAGCCACACAGGCTACTTTTTCCCTTTTTACTTTTTAGAACAATCTTGACATGCTAATCCCAGTTCCCTCTCCCTCCCATCCTCCTGATCCCCTCGACTTCTCCCCAACCCACCCCACATCCACTCCTCAGAGAGTGGATTCCCTAGGACCATCCATGGGGAATCAAGACAGTCTGTCACATCACTTGAGACAGGACCAAGGCCCTCCCCCGCTGTATCTAGGCTGATCAAAGTATCTCTCCATAGGGAATGGGCTCCAAAAGGTCAGTTCATACTGGGGATAAATACTGGTTCTCCAGTTAGTGGCCCCACAAACTGCCCAAGCCACCCGACTGTCACCCACACTCAGAGGGTCTAGTCAAGTCATGAGTCACTGAGCTCCCGCTTGCTCAGGCCAGCTGTTTCAGTGGGTTTCCCCAGCATGATCTTGACCCCTTTGCTCATATTATCTCTCTTCCTTCTCTGTTACTGAACTCCAGGGGTTCAGCCCAGTGCTTAGCTGTGGATCTCTGCATCTGCTTCATCAGTTACTGGATGAAGGTTCTATGATGACAATTAAGGTAGTCATCAATCTGATTACAGGGGAAGGGCAGTTAAGGTAGCCTCTCCACTATTGCTTAGATTCTTAGTTGGGTCATCCTTGCAGATTCCTGGGAATTTCCCTAGTGCCAGGTTTCTCAATAATCCTGTGATGGCTCCCTCTCTCAAGGTATCTCTTTCCTTGCTCTCCCTGCCTGTCCTTCCCCAACTTGACCTTCCTGATTCCTCATGTTGTCTCCCCCTCTTCCTCCCCTCCCCACTCCTCTTCCACTCTTCCCCCTCCCCCAACACTCCCAATTTTCTTAGGAGAGCTTGTCTATTTCCCTTTGCGTGTGGGAGAGGAGGATCCACGTATGTTTCGCTCAGGGTCTTCCTAGTTTCCTGGTTTCTCTGGGCTTGTGGACTGTAGGTTGGTTATCCTTTGTTTTATGTCTAATATTCACTTATGAGTGAGCACATACCATGTTTGTCTTTCTGAGTATGGGTTACCTCACTCAGGATTTTTTTTCTAGTTCCATGCATTTGCCTGCAAATTTCATGATGTCATTTCTTTTAAACCACTGAGTAATACTCTATTGTGTAAATGGACCACATTTTCTTCATCCATTCTTTGGCTGAGGGGCATCTAGGTTGTTTCCAGGTTCTGGCTATTACCAATAATGCTGCTATGAACATAGTTGAGCAAATATCCTTGTGGTGTGAGTTACACAGGCTATTTTAACAACATGCAGGTAATGATTTAGTCCTTAATTGTCTTGTTTTAGTTCTCTAATCCATTGTTAATCTCAGCCCTGTGTGATTTAAGTAAATTTCATTGCTTGGATTATTTTCTTGAGTTGTTAACAGTATGCAAAAAGTGAGTATAGAAAGTTAACAATAATTGCCTTTGTCATTATTTAGTGTGCATAAATTTTTTTGAAGAAAGAATTTTTACTAGATCTAACTCTTTTAAAGGACTTACTGTAATGACAGTATCATTGGGTTAAGAAAAAGAAGCTCTATTTTTCCTACCCATGTTTCATCATCCATCTTACTATGTAGTTCAAAGAAGTGCCAGTCTCCAGGCTCAACTTGCTTTGAATTAAGTCCCGGAAGCAGATATAATCCAGTTACCATTTATGATATTTGCATTAAATAGGAAAATATCCAAAAAGAAAATCAGGCTGCTTGACTCAAAATTCTGAAAAGATTAAGTCGTTTAAAGGAAGCGAAGATGCAAACTACAAAGTGTGATTAAGTTTTACACATTTTAATTCTCCCGTGTATGGGAAACTGTTGAAAATGTCTTTTACTAATTGGAAATCTTCAGACCCAGAATTCAATTTAAAAATGCATAAAATAGCTGGGTGGTCATGGCACATGCCTTTGACCCCAGCACTTGGGAAGCAGAGACAGGTGGATCTATGAGTTCAAAGCCATCCTCGTCTACAAAGCAAGTTCCAGGACAACTAGGACTACACAGAGAAACCCCATCTCAAGAGAACAAAACCAACCAACCAATAAAAGGAATAAAATAAATCCAATCACAATTTGTGTATCAAACAAAAGTGATTGTTTATAATTTAAAAAAATATATCCCTTCAAGCAGTGAATTGATCTTGGTAACAAGGTTCAGTACTCCAATTAAGTAAGGTCATAGTTATTGTTAGTACTTAAGAAAACAGTATACTTATAAAATGAGTTTTGTCTACAAGTGAAAGAAGATATTTTTGTGAAAGGCAATAGCAACATTAAAATATTAAGATTTCTTTTACAATATAGATTTAGAGAAAAAATTTTACTGTAAGAATCAAATGCAAAAATAAATTTTGGAATTCAAGAAACAATCACTTTAAAGAAAAAGATTAGCACTCTGAACATATGAACGTTAAAAGTGTTTAGTTGTTACAATTGCTCCATGGTAAAAATTACATCAAATTGAAGTTGATATGCTTCCTAGCCTTGAAACAGGACAAATCAATTACTGGGTTTAATGATAATGACAATATTATAAGATATCAAAAGAAAATCAAAAGATAATGAAGATTCAGGCCAATGCCTCAGAAAGAAAGACTAACAGTAAGCAATCTCTTGATATGCAGGCATGCAAAAAGTTGGCATAATATTTCTACAGATTATGGAAGATGCCTTATGGCTTACATTAATAGTTTTACTCAATTATAACAGTACCATTTACCACAAGTGTGTATGCAAATCTAAAAGAATGACACTTTAAGGAATATGGAGAATTACCTTATTTATAATCCTGTTTGATTTTTTAATTTTGATTTATAGACCTAAGAATTATTTTACATGTGTGCATTTTCAGCTTTCTCCTAAGATAAATTCATATAATTTGATGGGGGTCTCAGGTAAAAAAGCTTCCACATAGAAGTTATTAATAATGACCATAGCATAGATTATTATAATTTTGCTTTTAATATGCAATATATTTCAGCCATTAACTTTTTATGCATAGAATTTTGTATATTTTAAAAATTATTTAAAATTTCTTGAAAACTTATGCCTTAAAATTAATCAAAATTAGAACTGAATGTATTTGGTTTTTCCCTTAAAATATTAAATTTTCAAAACTGTTTTTCCCATTTCCTAGATATGACACAATTGCATACCAGAGTGAGTATCCTAAAGGACAGGAGTATGATAGGAAAAGATTATACAACACTAACCGTTAAAGAAACACAAATAGAAACTCAAATGAGCTATCATTTCACTCCTGTTAAACCCATGTGACAACCAAGGAAAACAATATGGATGCTTCGCATCAAATTTTTAAATTAAAAATGGAACTACTATTTATTATAGCCATCAACCCAACCACTCAGTACATGTCAAAGAGAAAGGAAACCAATAGGTTGCACACCCCATTCATTGAAGTATTTATTCTACAAGAATATGGAATGAACTCCTTTTATCTGTGGATAAAAGGATAAGGAAAATGTGTCATATTCTACACGGTGTGAAATTATCCAGTTGTTACTTGCAACAATATGGCTGGATTTGGTGAACACCATGCTGAATGAAATGCACAGCATAATCTCAGTCATAGAGTCTTAGAAGGGTGATCTAAGAGTAGAAGGTGGCATTGTCGCCACCCAAGACTGTGTGGTGGAGAGGTGACTGAGAAGACAGAGTCATTGCATAGGAGGGAATGTTCAAAAGATCTACTGTATAGCATGGACTGTAGTTACAAGCCATGTATTTAACTCTTGTGACGGCTGAGAGAGTGGGTGTTACTTGTGTTTTCGGTGTACAAATGTTAGAGTGTGCTCTTTCCTGGACATTAGTTTTGCATTCTCAGCTTTCCTCAGTTGCCTGTAGTTCTTTGTGTAGGGACAAGAACTCATGGCTCTCCCCTGATCCATGTTTAGTGTCTCTGTCGTCATTGTTCTTGTTCAGCTCATGTTGGTGGGACTTTATCAGTGGAGCTTCTGACTTTTCTAGGAGACACAATCTTATAGCAAACTCTCTGTTCCCTTAGATCTTAAATTCATTCTACTGTACTCTTAGGGTTACTGTGTCATTCTGGTCATTTTTGTTTACAGATGTTGTAGCTGGGTAGGACTGTTGGTTGCCTCTCTCCTTTGGAAACTTGAATGGTTCCTTCTGGTACTATGAGAACAAGTCCTCAGAGAGGAGGCTTTCAGGTCACTTCCAGCTTTGGAGCTCTGGGCTCTGTGTCTGAAGTGCTTGGAATACATTCTCTTTTGATAGTAGAGCTCTTGTAAGCACTGAATTCCTTATATAAAAAAACAAGTTGCTTTAAGACATGGAAGGGTATCATAGTTCATTTTGCTACCACAGAAATATATTTATAGGAGAAAATGGAGGAATTAGAACTTTGTCTAAAATATTCCAGTGCAGTAAGACTTTTGAGCTTAATACATTTGAAAACTAACTCAGTTCTCTTCACAGTATGCATGCGGACAGAGATTGTAATGTATGTCATAATATTACAGATTTTGTGACAGCTGTGTTTAGCCTGTTTTGGAACGTGAACAAAGGAAGGGTTTTAGTCTTTGCAAAAGCCCTTCTAATCCCTGAACATGTATTTCCTTTCTGCCTCTACACTGTTGGTTCAGCCTAGTGCTTGGAAGAAGAAAAAAAGAGAGGGTGGGGAGGGAGGGAGAGACCCAACAGTGGAGGAGGCCATACTGAGAACAGATATTAATTCCAGCATAAGAATTCAGGAACTTCCAAGAATAGCCAGGCCAACTTCCGTACCTCTAAGATCCTTTCCAAGGTTTAAAACCTCTATAGCATTCTTAATGAGCTGACACAGCACCCCGTCCCTAGTGATTCTCAACACTTCAGCAGACCTTTCTTTAATATTAGTGCATTAAACTGAATAGAAATAATTAAAGCAAAACTTGCCATAATCCTTTGTACTTCTAAAACAAGGTCAGCATAGATCAAATAACCCACTATCTTTTATTTTATTGGCTCATAAAAATGTTGATCATAATTCCCTGTAATCTAATATAAGAAATTTAGAACTGAAATACCAGATTTTAAAAAAATATAAGACATAGTTTCATGTTCATTATTCCAAGAACCCAAACGGTTAGATAATGGTTCAGTTTTTAATAAAATTATTTTTATTTATTTTTAATGAGATAACAATTATCTTCTGGCTTAGCCTTTAAACTTTTAAAACTGGTTTTAAATTTGGCTTCTAAATAAGTTGATTATAAATTTCATGTAAATAATTAAGTGGTAATAACAAAAGAAGAGTATCTCTTTCCGATGTGTTTTGCCATTTGTAGAAAAGCCAGATTTCTGCTTCTTGGAAGAGGACCCTGGGATCTGCCGAGGCCTCATTACTAGGTATTTTTATAACAACCAGTCAAAGCAGTGTGAACGATTCAAGTATGGTGGGTGCCTAGGCAACCTCAACAACTTTGAGACTTTGGAAGCGTGCAAGAGCACCTGTGAGGATACCGGTGAGTTCGTTTCTCATGTCACTTGGGTCCCTTTACAGGAATCATTTGAGATGAAGAGTCCTTGAGGATGTACCCAGATTCCGTTTAAGTTGCACAAACAGAAACTAGGTCTGAAAGAGATTCCCCATCCTGATAAAAAATAAACACAGATAATCAACGCATCTCTACAGCTACCCTAAATCCCGTAATGTTCTCAGATACAGTAGTTAACTTTCCTTAGAGAACTGCAATATACATTCAGAAAGAGGGTAGGACTGCTGAAATTTCTTATTCTTATACAATATGAGGGTTAATAATTACTCATAAAAAACAAGAAAAGGAAACCTTATGCATGAACTGTTGCAGGACTTTGGTCATTAGGTACAATATTATTAATGGAAATCTCAACTTGCATATGTATTTAAACTTCTTTGTTTGCTAACTTAGAAGAGTTAGAGGATTAAATTGCAACAGGTCTGCTGTTCTTAAGCCAACAGTTACATTTGCTTGTATACAAAGATAGGAGATTCTGCTGTGCTTTCAGATTGTAATTGCTTACATTGTTTCTTTCCCAGGGAATGAGTTACAGATAGATAACTATGCACCTGATCTCAATACTGTAAACAACACCTTGATTCCCCAGTCTACCAAAATGCCCAGCAGTTGGGGTAAGAATCTTATTTTTATTATTTTATGAATATATTATGGCAACAGTAGAAGTGGATGTGTGTTAGAATTATCTTTTTAAAAATAATGATTTTATTATTTGAGGGTATGTTAAAATAGAGATATTTGATGTGTTTAAGGCACCTAATCTCATAAAAGTAATAATTTTTCTTAATCTTTTTTAAGATGTGCTTTGAAGTAGGGCTTCCGTGTATGTAAAGTGTAGAAATGTGTATGTAACATGTAGAAATGTATACATGATATGTTCTTTGCTGTTTTAATTTAGCTTCATTACTTAGTTTGAATTTGTCAACATTTTCTGTTTGCTTTTTACCTAGCTTTTAAATATAAGACTTTCTGTCCATTGATGTTATTCTTAATCACATTATCCATGTTCATTCCACAGACTGTCCTATACATTTTTTCCCAACTGGTATTCACTGGCCTGCTTATCTTCTTGCCTATGGATTCACTACTGTATAGAAGCCTCCTTTCTCTGCCTTTACTCTGGCTACCCAATCAGATTCATTTAATGTGGCTGTCATTTGATGTGTTTGCTTTGCTTAAGTTACTGTGCTACAAGGTTTTGAGTATGACCATTTATCGCCTGTCTCTGTTCCAGCATTTGTCTCAATGTTAAGCATACGATAGATGACTTACATGTTTTATTTATTAATTTTGTGATTCACAGTTACAAAAGAAGGAACAAATGGTGGTTGGAAGAATGCTGATTATACTTACCACGTCTTTCTGAACGCCTTCTACATTCATGTACTCACACTTTTTGTCATTAGGATTGGATAGCATTCTATGTATATTCTATTATGCATTTCCTTTGGGTTTACTTAATATTTAGATAGTATACTTGATGTTTTTATACTCATAATTAATAAAGTTTTAATATTAACATTCATAGTTAGCATAGTCTTTTACTATGTCTAACTGGTAAACATAACTGGGAAAGGAAGACTAATCATATTGGTTCTGGGTCTTTGGGGTAGACTTGACCTTTCTTGGAAAAAAAAGTTTTCCAAATTCTCATAGCCGACTTTGCTTCTATACATCATCTCTTAACAGTTGCCTTGGGACTGCATCACCTTTATGATATTTTGAAAAAACTCATCTTTGGTTAGACTTCAAAAGCCTACTGCTAACTCAATCTCCAGCACTTTGTCTCTGAATGAGAAAATGAGCACCTAAGTACTGATCTAGGGCCATACTGCTTCATGCCGGCCTCCAGGTCCAGGGAGAATGACTAGATGTAAAAAAGAAGACCCTGTGGCCACTTGAAACTCTCTTCTGACTCAATCTAACACATAACCTAGGGCCAAACTCTACATACACAGAAAATGGTGGAAAAAATTAATACATATATGTGTGTATATATTATCATTGGCCTTCTGGAAGAGGAACAATGTTGACAGAGAAGCTATCAAATAATTAAATGTCACCATTGCCTCTATGTTCTCTTGGAAGATAGTGATTATATGCAGAGGAATATTGAAATCAAGTAAATTTTCTGGGAAGAAGATATCCCCTTACTAACTAAGGAATACACATTTAAATGCATACCCCAAGAAATCATGAGTGCCATGGACAGTGCTGTAAACCTCATTTCATCGGCAAGCACACACAATTTGAAGCAAGTATGTTGGCCTTGAGATGTATTCTCACTGAGAAGCATAGAATGTATCTCATCCTACCAGTTCCTGCATAGTAAATCTGGGAGCTTGTGCTGACACCCTGGCAAGCTGGCTTTCCAGAAATAGACAGCTTTAGCAGAGCTCACATCAGACCTTCTACTTCCTGGCAGGAGTGCTGGCCAGAAACAAAAATGTGGCACTGCCTCTGCCAAAATCGCAGCTGTCACCCTACCTACCTGGAAAATCTCTTCACAGACAATTTTGAATCTAACTAAAGACAACGGTTGTCCCAGACAGTGGAGCCCTCCAGAGAAATGTTTCTCGACGTCAATAGATACTTTTACAGGAGATGAAGTAGACAACTTCACTGTGGCAACCAGATTAGTTTAAGTGACATTTGTGTGGAATAAAATAATAGAAATTTAAGCTTGTGAAAATTATAAAGCTACAACAGAAACTTAGTTGCATATTAACACAGACCAAACTACTATCACTATTAATTTGTTAAGATTTCTTTTCTTAAAGCAGTAGGAAAATCCATATTGGAATACGAATTTTGTATTGACAGCAAAAAGATAGACTAGGAACAGGGGTTAGTTTAGTCTTAATTCTCTGAGTGTCACTTTTATCTTTAAAGATTGGATGATCTCTGCAGAAATGAAGTGAGAAGCACCCACTACAGAGCCCCACACTCCTACCTCTCACAATACCCCAGGGCCATGCTCCCTGTTTTCAACTGTATGAATGCCAGGAGCTTACTCACTGGCACGCATCTGATCACAGAGACATAAAGGCCTGGATTGTGTTTTGTGATTTCTAGAATGAGGCCAGGTTGAACATGCCAACCTAATGATTCCTGCCTTCAGATGGTGGAGAGCTATTTGGCTCACCACTGTTGCCCCCAAGGCTGCTTCCAGCCTCCTTATTAGGGTTTCTGTTTCAATTACGCACACCTTTCTCCTGTTCAGACTCGAACGCCAATTCATCCATGTGACAGTGCATGAGGCACATTTAGATGGTTTTGACTGGAGACTGATGGGGAGAAGGGATTTGGAGATTATAAATAATGAAGTGTCACAAGCTGTATCTGATAAAATTTTTGAAGTATTTGCCCAGTAAGTCTAGAAGCATTTTCTACTTAGCTTTAAGAGTGTTGCCTCATGATTGGTTAGAACATTGGCTTTAGGAATGGAATTTGAGTTCGATTCCAGTCCTTTAATTTCCTGACTTGTTTTGTACCGTTGAAAAAAAGCATGCCATTTCTCTCAGCCTCCAGTTCGTTCTTTGCCTCGTGTGGAATGCAATGCGTCATACAGTGTTTAAAATCCTGTAATAGCATGCAAAACTCTTTATCCATGTTGTCATTAATGAGAATATTGATTTAAAGACATTTCGGTGGTGATGACCCTGACCCAAATTCACCTAAGATACATAGCTGGTAAAGAAGTAACTCAAAGATATTGCTAATGCGTATTTTGGTTTTGACGCAATTAAAGCTGTAGCCTTGAATAGAAGAATATTAATTCATTATAGTTAACACACGTGCTTGTAAACTCCAAGCATAATTAATTAAATAAAATTTCACCTTTTGTGTCTCTGGGTTTTGCTTGTGATCATTGGAGGCATTAAACACCTTTATGATCTGAGGTATGGATTTGTGTGCTTCCTAATTAAAGTGAAATTCGTAAAATTGACTACATGGCTGATGGGAATTGTCATAGAATCTGGAAATGGAAGAATGGAAATATGAGGGTGGTTTTGTTCTTTAGAGATGTAATTGTCAAGTAGGAGAAGGCTTTTGTGATGAGACCTTACAGGCGGTATGGCGGGATAAGGTGAAATTTAAAACGTGGGCACCGGTGACGTAGATCCCAGGGTAAGCATATTTGCTGCTGAGTCTGCTCTGGAAAAGCCCAGCTTTCTCACTTCCTGATTTCCTCAGTTGCCTGTGGTTCTTTGTGTACACCCAAATTCCGCTTTTCCAGTTCTACACTCTACCATTCTGTTTGTTCTGTTCTGTTCTTTACTAGTCTAGACTTTTTAAAATACCCCTCCAGATAAGCTGGGAATACTCTCATCTTTGTGCTGTCACCCGTATTCTACTGTTTCTCTGATTGCTGAAAGCCCATTCTATTAAAGGTAACCAATACATTAAACAAACAGAAGACAATAAGTGATCTGCCGCACAGACAAAGGTCTATGATATGCCTTTATCTATAGCCTATCCCACAGGGTTCTCCAGATAGTATTCTTAAATTTAGTGTACATGTATGGGAGTTTGGCATGCACGTATGTCTGCGCATCTCACGTGTTCATTGCCTGAGGCAGCCAGTATCAGTTCCTGGACTGGAATTACAGAAATATAGCCACGTGGGTCCTGTGCGAGAGCAGCAGGTGTTCTTAATTGCTGAGCCGTCTCTCCAGGCCTTCTGCACAATATTTGAAGATGAAAATGGTACTGATTGTAAGTATATTTTTCCAAACATATATTTCCTGGTAAAACATTTAATTGAAAAAATATGTTTATGAAAATTTCATAATTGTCATTGTCTAAGGCCTTTTTGCTTCCTGGATTGTTAAGAAAAATTCTTCAGTATAGTACCTTAATGAACTCTGAGTGTGGATTAGTTGACCTCTAGACAAAAGCAAACAAATACCTACTTAGTTTCTCTCTTTCCTTTTTAATCTGGGTAGGCTTTCCTGTCCAGGAAAGAGTTCTTACAGTCTCTTCCTATGACCTTTCCATGTCAAATTTTCTGGCTGCACAGACTCTACGTTTTACCTTCTACTAAGTGGCCTAGTACATGCAGTGTAACAGAACCAATCCTCTAAGGAATTGCTTAGCAGTCCTTGCCTGCTTTTCAATGTTGACGGAAGTATCAGTTTCTATGGTTTTAGAGACTTCTCTTCTAGTGGGTGATTGCATGTTTTCTGTAAAGCAGAGGAGACGGTGGATTTATTGTCCATTACCAATCAGAGCATGTTCCAGTCTGTAGCATTTTATTTATCACTGTAGGGAACTGAATTAACTCTAGTCAAATATTTTTATTTGTAACTTGAGCATTAGAATTAAAATTTGGCAATAATCATATCACACAGAAGAAAAAATTTCTTGTCCATTTGTCAATAAATGTTCTTTAATTTGCAAAAAAATTAATTATAGCTGGACAGTAGTGGCTCATGCCTTTCATCCTAGTACTTGGGAGGCTGAAGCAGGTGGATCTCTGTGAGTTTGAGGCCAGCCTGGTCTACAGAGTGAGTTCCAGGACAGGCTTCAAAGTTACACAGAGAAACCCTCTCTTGAAAAACAAAACAAATCAAAACAAAAAATTCACCATGAAGCAAATGATTGAAAGACTGTAAGTGTCTGCTGGAGGAGTTCAAAAGCATATAATAAGCTCAACACAAACATTTTCTCTGGAACTTTAGCCTAGCAAACTTCTGAGTTTACAAACTATAAAGCTATATTTATAGTAATCACTTATCACATAGACTCGCAGCACTTTGCCCAATGAATAACGTATAATTTTCACTTTTATTTATGTGTTTTTATATAGATATATCTATGCATGAATTTGGCATTTTGGCATATAATACAAGTTAGCATATTTTACTAATTTTAAGTTACACATTTTTCAACATCTTAACATGGTTGTAATCATGATGAAGCTTATCACTGATGGTACACAATTATATGATCAGGTTTTCCTTATTAGTAGTACATAAAATAAGCTTATCGTAAAGTCAAAGACAGATTCTGTGTAAGTGATGTTTAGTAGAACTGATGGACAATTATGCACATATTTAAAAGGGTATATAATTGTATATAATATAAGTATATATTCACAAGTTATTCAGAATAATAATATGTAGGGTAGTACATGGATATATATTTGTATATACAAATTATTTTGAGAAAACCCTTTTCAAAATCATTGATAGTAATTTAATTGGGGGAGGGAATTATGTGGATGTTTTGTTTCATATTTTTTGTTTTGGTATTATTTAAAATTTTATAAAAATTGTAATGAAATTATGTTTCTCTTTACTACAACTTATAGGAAAAAAAAAGGAATGATTTGTTATTCAATCCCCCCCTTCCCAATCCCAGAAGGAAACAAGTTCATGGGTCATGAAGTGGTTCACAAATACTAATTTTCTTGATACCATGAGCACTTACACAGGGAAGTATTGTGGGAATAAGACATTTCAGTAATGTTTCAGTGCACTAAGTCTGAAGTGTACTGTATGAATTTCAAAGTCAATTTACATAAAACATTTTACTTGAGAAGTGGACCCTGGGCCACCACCCTGCACTCTAGTAGTCACACTAGATAGTCACGGTTTTCTAACAAAAAAGGAAAGGGAGGTGGTATGCCATGACACCTATCAAAAAGCCCTCTAGATGGAATCCACTCAACTTGTTATTGATGGCGGATCAAGGAAGAATGCATTTGGCTATTAAAGTCCCTTTGGAACATGAGCAGAAACCAGCCAGGTTAGTGTCTTTTTATCCTATCTTAAATTTCTGTCACTAATCATAATCTAGACTAAACAAATCACACTATGCAACTACTTCAAAATGTATATTCTTTCATTGTAGATATCAACGTCTGTTTCAATAGGTGAGTGTCTACCTATGTTAAGAATAACTTTGTAACTGAACACAGACAAACTTATCTTTTCATGGGATACAAACATATTCTATTTTCTCACTTCTGGAAATTTAATTAGATGCTAGTCAAGGTCTCCAAACATTCTGCAGAAACTGCGTTACTTTACCTATCATTTATATTAAAATAACTAAATGGTAGTCAGCATTAACATAATCTTAAAAACTAGGAGTTCACTTCAACATTGTCTGTAATTCATGTTCTGGGAAAACAAGTACCTTATAAAAAGACTCCCAAGTTGAAAAATGTTTTGCATACTGTAATACTTTACTATGTATAGTACTGAATACTTAGTGATAAATTTCAAACTATACTCCACTCTGAACATAGCATCCTTTCTAGTATTAGGAACATGACTGCTGATGTGGTCAAAGATATGCTGGATTGGATCTGTGCAGATCGGGTATCAGGACTAACAGAATGAGACAAGGAAACAGCTGCCACCGTACATTCTTGGGAAGATGCCTCCGGGTGGAGCGAGCGAGTGTGTGGTAGCAGGAGGTGTGTGGTATGCATCTGCATGCGGACCTCAGCTCCCAGATCTGTGCTAGACACTTAGGCAGAAGTCACTGTGCACAGGTGGCAGAAATGTGAAGTCCTGGATGGTTAAATTGGCAATGAAGCCTTTCTGGTTCACCTGTGCTCTTGACTGCCTTCTTTCATATGAACCCTGCCTTCTGATGCCCAGTGCTGCATGAAACCCATTTCCACTGGCTTCTGAGTTCACTGGCCACTAGTGAATATTTCTGGATTCTTAGATGGCCAAAGGAAGACAGAGCTTAGAGCCTATGTGCCCATTATACCTGTGGCATATACGCCATGATTTATGTTCCCCTAGAAATGCCTGTTCTGGTTCTAGTTTTAACCTGGGATGTAGGTTTTTGGTTTCTGGTAATATTCTTCCTTCTTACCTCCAGTCTAGGGGAAGTAGTCAAGTTAGCTTTTTTCACTTAGAAATATGTTCAATTTTGATTATGATGCTAAACTTTCATCGGGTTATACACTAAGTGGAGAAGGAGTTGCTCTCAGAGAATGAAAAATTCTCTGTTTTGACTTAAGGGGTCTTAGGGTGGGCATTGCTATTAAAACATAGTAATTGACATTTGTAAAGAAAGGTACACTTATAGATATTGATACATTAAACATGCATTATCTGCAAATTACTGTGGACTGACACATCTTGTATAGAAGACCCTAAAATGATGTATACGTTACATACCTTCTATATACAATTTGTTATGAAATATATGTGGTGCTTGCTGGAAAAAAACATAAAACAAGTAACAAATTCCTCTGTTTCTCGATTCCATTCAAATGCTTCTAGTCTGCCATTTCTGTTTCTGAACCTGGGTGGTGGTTTTGGAAGTTCAGGAGTCAAAGGAGGTGCAGTTGCTAACTATTCAAATCTAAACTGGGTAGGAATGAAAAAAACACAGGATACTCACTGGAGTAGCTGGACAATAGGAGGACCCAACTGCAATGTGTCTCCTCTACCTTTGGAACTACTTTCTTAAACTGCTCATGACAAAAAGTGCGGGCATATGGTGGAACCTTTAGAACACATTCCCATCACATGATCTTAACTCAGGTTTATGATGGGGCACGCTCATGTTCAAGGATGCAGAGTAGCAGAATATAAAGTAATAGCCTAGACACTTTATGAACACTGCTTTAGAGATCTTAAGGGTTTCATTCAAAATCAGTGTTTATATGTTTAGCCAAAGATCTAAATGAAACTAAATATTCTTCATGTGAGTGTAAGTCTTACATTTTGCACATTGCCTTTATAATTTTTCTTATATATTAACCTGTCATCCTCAGTCCCTCAGTATGTCAGTTATTATATCCAGACATTCTGATTTCTACTCATATATCTAGAAGGCAGGAGATGACAAAAATGTGTTTATCAAATTAAGGCTCTTCTTATGTGTTCTTCACTTTTAGTCTTTTTCCATCTAGGGTTTACATGCCAAAAGATTGCTGCTTGCTTTCTGCACAACCTGCTTGCCTTTTCTGGGCACTGGATTGTTCAAAGTTGGATTTTCTGCCCATGAACATTTTCCGGGCTGCCTCTGCATGTGCTGTATGACATCTTACCATCTGCTGAAGCCACTGAAGTTTTCCTCTATAGTTCATCAATCACCACCTTACTCGCAGCCTTCGTTTATGACCATCAGACAAAGCTGGACAGCTGAGAAGCACCAGCTTGCCCTTCCTGAGAGAAATCACCAAAGAAATTTAAAAAACATTACTAAGCTCCAACTACTTTTCACATTAGAGTTATCGTTATCACTGTTGTCATTATTACCCTAGTTGCATGTTCTTGGTTTTTGAGCATTTGTTGGTCCTGTTGACAGACTGAGCTATCTATTTCAAACCAGTGACTTACTTTACTATGGAAATATGGACAATTTATTTCATATATACTAATTTATATGTCTTTGTAAATATACAGTTGAAGTTTCAGAAGATAAGTTGTTGAGTAGGACTTGGTTTGATTGTGTATAACTAATTTGTTCATATAAACACTAACCATTGGCTTTTCTTTTATCAAATGTGCTCTGTTTGGTTCATTGGAAAAGATCATGGTATTATGGACATTTCAATTTGTTTAAGTGTATTATGGGAATTGAAACTCTTGGGCTTTCTTGAGTATTAATCTTTGCAGGATTCTGCTTTATTCAGAAGACATGCCATCAAGCTAATCTGCAAGGAACACATAACAAGAAGGCTCAGATTCATCATGTATAGAGCTTACCAAATTTTCTGTCTTTTAAAAATATTTATTTATTTATTTATCTGTTTATTTATTTATAGAATATCATGGCCCTTCATGGTGTCTTAGTCCAGCAGACAGTGGATTGTGTCAAGCCAATGAGACGAGATTCTACTACAATTCAACCATTGGGAAATGTCGCCAATTTAAGTACACTGGATGTGGGGGAAACAATAATAATTTTACTACAAAAAAAGACTGTGTTAGGGCGTGTAAAAGAGGTATGATATGCTTCCCATTAAATCACTGATATTTGGAATGATAATTATGTTGAAATTATAAAATACTTTAACTTATGAAATAACAAACATTTCCTTACTTATAGGAAGCAATATTGTCTTAGTCAATATTTGTCTTCCCACCAACTAAACTTAGAAAATATTGGTAGATATGCTAGCTGTAATTGTTCTTCATGTATTATAGAACAATTATCAATTTCAAATAGATTAAAAATCTTAAATTTTTCTTTTTAAAAGATTTTAATTTATATTTACATATATGTAGTGTGTGTGTGTGTGTGTGTGTATGTGTGCACGCATCTGGATATGAGTATGCCATCTGTGCAGGTGTTTTCAGAGTTTAAATAGGATATCAGATCCACTGGAAGTGAAGTTGCAGGTGTTTATGAACTGACTAAAGTGAGTGTTGGGAGCTGGTCGGTCCTTTGCATGAGCAGTGCACACTCTTAATGACTGAGTGATCTCTCAGGCCCAGTTTTCTTCCTTGAATGTTTAGGAGTTAATAATTTATTTTTAAGAAATATACTAAAAATTTTGCAAGTTCTCTTTTATATTTTAAGTTGTGAGCCTAGCCTTTAACAGCTGAGCCATCTCTCTAGCCCGCAAGTTCTCTTTTAATGCACCAAAACTTTAACATTTTGATTACTTTTCTCCTGAACATAATAATGATATAATACAAAGAACACAAAGAACATACACATTAAATAAAATAATCTGTTATTCTAGTAACCACACATTTATCACATGTGTACTCTCTTATAAAAATAGTCATGTATTCCTAACAGAATGATGATATAGTTACCCAGTTTTGGTGACTTTCATGCATTCCAAACTACTTTCTTAAAATTAGATTATTGGGTGGGAGGATGGGGGGGATGGTGGGGGAGTGCGGGAGGAGGGGAGGGAGAGGGAACTGGGATTGACATGTAAAACAAGCTATTTAAAATTAAAATTAAAAAAATAAGCAGTATCTAAAATCCACTCATTGGCACTTGGAGAGCATATTGCAAAGTAAGATCATTAACAAAGTGTTGAAGCATGATACATAATAAAATTTTCCATGAAGGAACGAGCAAAAAAAATTGGATTATTTTACAGAAATACAGAGACAAATGAACGACAGAAAATTTGAGATAAATTCTTATGTATTCTCTTTTCACTATTATCATTTATTGTTCTTATTGTAGGTTTCATCAAAAGAATATCAAAAGAAGGAGTAATTAAAACCCAAAGAAGAAAGAAGCCTTCAGTGAAAGTAGTCTATGGAGAATTTAATTAGTGTTAAGATATAAACACATTATTATTACATTAATTTCACTAAATATTTCATAAGGTATTTTTACTATGATGTCTATTCTTCTACTACAATAATTTTAATGACTATATTAGTAGATAATTTTCCAGGCCATTGTGTCTGCTAAGAATGTGTTTTCATAGTGTTTCTTTTCCAATCTAGCCAACATACTTTTTAAAAGCTATAATTTATTAACGGCTACTGTGAATTTTATCTCAGTCCCTTTCAAATTGTTTTCCGTTTAACTACAAGTTTTCCTACTACTAACCACATGAACCAGTTTTCTCATTTCCATTGGCGAACATCTACTAGAAGATATATTTTCATTTGTTATGATCATGAACATTATGTACTCTTGATAGTCTAAACCTTCTCAAGTAATTTTGTTTTTAACAGTGTAAGAAATAAAATATTCTAACCTGAACAATAAACTTGACTGTTACACTAGTGTTTACTAGAGAACTTGTTGTTACCTATAAAGGTACAGGGTTGTAAAACCAAATAAAAATCATTGTTCCTGATTCACTCTGCATTTGCTTTCTTATTTAGAACTTGTTGACAATCTCTTTAAGTTACAAAAGTGTAGTTATACATTATGATTTCTTATTTGTCAAAGAAAGTAGTACACAATGTCTCAAAGATCTATGGAAGAAGACATGAATGAGGAGCTGCTGCTTTCCCACATGACACGAATGAGTTCTTTTTTTAGCACTTGGGTGTTGGGTGCCTGGCTAACAGCCGTCTGCAACTCCAGCTCCAAATTCTCCAATATTCTCTTCTGGTCTCCACAGGCACCCACACGCATGTGGCACACACAGATACATATGTATACATAAATTTAAAAACTTTAAAAAGTCTACGTAAGCTTTCTAAATTTGTTTCCATCAACAATTGCATCAATTATTGTATAAAGCCAGACATATTATTAAATAAAAATTATATAACTACACATTATGTAATTGCTTCCATCTCAGACTATTTTAGTACATAGGGTCCATCTCCACATCAGAAGAAAAGAGAAAATGCTGCAAAATTAGTCAACTATTTATTTAGGGGGTGTTGATTTCCTACCAGCAGCTTTTAATTTTATTGTATTTTTTATGAAGTTGGCATTCATTTGTTCTCATTGTCTTTGGGTATGCCATTCTTTCTCAGGCTCTTTGACGTGAACACAGAGGTCATGATTATATTTCCTGTGCAACATAAAATTCCCCACTCTATCAGTTCCTCAGGTCCAGTTCTTGGATTATTCCCAGCACTCTGTCAGTTTCCTAGATAGCATTACTCAGAACACTGAGTAAAGAGGGCTGGGGCAGAGTGGCTCATAGTAATTAATTTTATGAAGGGCAACAGGGAGGAGGGGTAGGTGGACACGAAGGTGAATGAAAAGTGAGTAAGATGTATTTTTTTACCAAATAATAGTTCACATTTAATCATTACTTAATATAGTGAAAAAAAAGCAAAGTTTAAGCATCAACTTCAATAAATGAATGAATTTTGTGAAATTCAACCTTTTTATCTGAATAATTGTGCAGTAAAATAGTGATCAGCTAATCTGATGATACAGATGTTCCAAAATCATAAGTAATATGAAATTTAGGAATCAAATTTTAAAATCATTCTATTAAAGTGAAGATTAGGGCCTAAATGTTCCCCATTGCTTCTTCTGCTCAACATAGACCAACATCCTTAGTTTTATAGTAAATATAAAAGGACAAAATACAGAAATTAGTTGGGAAGTGTATACTGTGTCAAATTCTTTTCATTTGTTTTTCATAATTAAATAAAAAATTCAAGAAAGGTTCATGGCTCAGGAATAATGTTTACTAAACCTGGAGGCTCTGATTTCCAGTATATGTGGATAATACTCCATTTTCTCACATTTTTTGAGTCAATTTGATTCCCAGACAAATAGAAGCTCTATAATGCTCTTTGGAAGATGATCAGTTATTGACATGCAGGGGAGAATCCTAGGAAGATGATGACTAGATTTTGAAATACGTTTTCAATATTCCCTCAGTCTTTTTGTACATACATGCCAGGCGAAAGCTTTGCTATTCCCCTAGGACTGACCTAGGCCTGAAGCATCGGGTCTTTGACCTTGCCAAGCTCATGTCAACAACACAAATCAACTCAGGAATTCATCCTCTCCCCACATATATCAAACGCCTCACCTTCCTACTGGTCAAAGCTCAGAAAACATCAAGAAAGAGGGGTGGGAAAAACAGTAAATTAGAGGATCAGAGAAGCACCATGAAATGCTATCCTCTGCTCAAAACAGCTGCGGTTACCTGCACAAGATCAAGCCAGTTAAGCATTCCAGTATGGAAAAAGGAAAAGATCACAGTCCTCACCCCTAGCTGATGCATGGTTGATAGTTGACTGTTGCTGGGAGAAAGTAACTTTTCTTTAGAAGGGAAGACAGCGATAGATTCTGTAGCCTAATGGATGTCCCTTATACACATGTGCATATGAGCAGCACTAATCAGACCTAGTAAGTTATTAAAAGATAGAGAGAAAGGGGAGAGAGACATGAAGTTATGAGGATAAAGATGGGGTACTCTTGGGAAACTGGAGGCATGGAATGAGATGGATATCAATTTAAATTGTGTATATGTATAAAAATGTCAAAGGTTTCAAACAAATAAAAATGTTTACAGCAAAATCTCAAGAGCAGAGAAAAGTCCTATTGACAAATTTTGTATTCTAGTTGCTATCATAATGTTTAAAATGGTAGATGATCAATTGGTTTGTGCTCAGTGGTTGACTATTCAAAAACTTTCTGGTGATGAAAAGTTTGAAGACCTGTGTCTTGGAGATAATGAGTATGCACAAAATATGGTTTTGTGAAAGGTCTGCTAACTATTAAGTTGAAGCAATATTATAGCCCATTAACGATTAAAATT